TTCAAATTAAAATAAGAAAGGAATAAGGACAATCCAATTGGTCCCAAAGTAACCTAGCCTCATTTACATAATTAACCTCTATAGTACGGACACCTATAAAGTTTGCGGACATTTGGTCCCGTTCCTATTGATGTCCCTGAGTGTGAGCTTAAGGATATGAAATTTATGAGAAATTTCAATTGTCAAATGGGAGATGTGATGTTTTTTTCAAGCGAAAGAATTTTTTTCTGAAAAAGGGTTTTTTAGTCAATCAATTAGTAGCCTGTTCCAGGCTCTTAGGTAGTGGGGGAAGACGCGAAAGAAAAAGGCACGCGAGCCTGGAACAGGCTAATCAATCAGTACAGACGAGGACAATCCTGGGACAAACACCCACTGCGCTGAAAAGCATTTTCCATTTGACCCACCCTTGAAACCTCCAAACAGTACAATCAAACCACGTTAATAGTACGGATACTGAGGGGGCCAAGATCAGAATTTGCTAATTGATTCTTCAGTAAGTGATTTGAGAAAGTGAAAACCATAATGGATGGAGGAAATATATCTATTTTTTTCTGTGTTAAATGTAATGCCAATCTCCCTTTATAATAATAACAATAATAAAAATAATAATAATAATAATGGTGATGATAATAATACTGGAAAAGGAACTTCAAAAAACTGGAAAAGGAACTTCAAATGTCATGTGCCGAATGTGTGTAAATAACCCGAAAGTGTGCCGCACGTATTGGCAGGCTGTGGGACACTCGCTCAGACTAAATAATTTATTTCGCGAGGCATAATGCAGCTCTTAAAATCTTGTTCTTTGAGATGCTGAAGGACCTGGAACTCATTTCAGAAGTGCCTTCATGGTATTCAAAGACCCAAGCCAAACCGTCGCATGAGAATGGAGTGCGCAAGCATTATGGGATGTACGGGTTTATGCAGATAGCATTGATCGAGGTGAGGGCCAACAGAATAGCCCATTTGCACTAAAAGGTCATGTGACATCGTTTTTATGAAAATGAAAGTTATATGATTTTGCCTTCGAAAAACGATTGGTGGGTCATGTCTCTTTTACAAAATAATAGTGATTTGGTTTTTCAAATCCGCACCATTTTCTTAAATGGACAAGTTCGTAGCTGGTCACGTGATCAAAAGGTGATTTTTAAAATTATGAATTACCTCCTTCTAAACACAAATTTTGCACTTAAACTTCGAGGAAAATGTTAAAAAGATGATGTGGTAACGTTTACAGTACATCTGAGCGTAACTATCAAACGTTTAACAAGATATAAGCAAAAAGTAGTTTTGGCCACCATATTGGAGAGCAAGAGTATGCCCTCCAACATGGCGGCCAATACAAATCATACTACTTTGTTGAAAAATAAAAGAGCCATAAAATATCTCCCTCAAATGCGTTCCCTCTCAAATTTCGGGTGTAATTTTTATGTGCTCTTTCGATTTTTGGCATCAGCAAGATTCCAACTCATTGTTTAAAGGAAGCATTGGTCACGTGACCTCTTAGTGCAAGTGGCCTATTGACGCTAGAATAGTACAGACTAATGAATGTGACAACGTAAATAGCTTACCAGCATCAGCTGCCTCAATATAGTGGAACAGGGAACCTGAAAATGAAAACAACAATTTCTTTATTAATTATTTATAGTTTACCGACGTTTTTACAAAACAGCGAGGCTATCAAAAGCACTGCAAAATAATTGCTGGTTTTCAGTGTCACGCCATTCAAAGTAGATCAAAATAAAAATCAAAACCATTGGACAGGTAAAGTCCAGAATCTGGGAAATGAAAGGACGTAAATATGTAAAGACCCTCGCCAAGATTTGGGTCGAAGGAATAATTCGTATACGAGATATCCGACGAAATGTTTTACCCAGATTTATAGAGTTTTGTATGGAGACGCCATGCTGGAGCTCATCCAGATGAGCTCCAACATGGCGGACGGAAACCAACAGAAACATCTGTTACCGAGTTTTGCTACAAAAGCAAAAATTCCTCGAAAAAAAGTATCTTTTTTAACCTAAATGACGGCTTTCTCGGCCGTCATATAAATAATGCGTCAAGCAGAAGCTTAGAAATTCAAGCTTACTCTATTACAAAACCAAGAACCCATTTGAAGCGAAAATTTGTCTGAAAATTAGTTTTCAAGCTGCTCTAATACACCGTGAAAGTAAAATCTCAGTAGGATCGATAGTTTTGTAGTTTGAATTCTAGTGACGTCAGGTGAAAACCAATAATAGTGACATCGGAATGACCACGTGTATGAGTGTGTCAGTGTAGTGAGTCAAGGCCAAGCCAAAAGTTGAATTTTTTATCCAACAGTCCCCCGGGGGATGAACTCTAGGGAAACTTGATTAGAGATGTGCCGCTGAGGCCTTCAGACCCTGACCTTGTTTAACCCCAATTGAGACCGGGGGTGCTTTTGATGCCTTCCTACCCTCCTCACTAGAATGTTGAATAATTTAAAAAAATTTAAGCGACGACAACTTAACTGAGCTTCTTTTCGTAAAATTTATTGCAGAACATTTTTTTAGTCCTCGTGACGTGTATGTCGCAGTTAATTTTTTATTTCCGTTAATTTTTGTTTTTCCTTTGTTTTAAATTCATTAGATACATTAGCATACCCAAAAACAATAGAAAAATAATAATTAACTGACATAAAAGACATAAAAAATTAACTACAACAGGTACATCAACATTGGCGTTACCATAGCAACCGAGTTTTCACAGTTTTTGTGATATAGCTTTTCTGCCCTGAGACTGGTCAATTAGTGGTCCATAACTTACTGTACGGGCCAAAATTTTAAAGGCAAGTGCTCATTTTGCAGCTTTAAATCCTTTTATATGTATATCCCGAAGAAAAAAATGATTTACAGAAGGTTAACATATCTCTGGAAGCCCTGATGACTTGGATGTTTACTTCGTCCTTCCAAATTTTAACCTGTGTTTATTTGAGAACGAAACTTACGAAGAAACTGAATCGTAATCTTACCGAAGAAGAAAATTCTAGTAAGTGATCGAAACTTTTATCGCAGGTTAAGGTCACAATTAAGAGAAATAGAATAGGCTGGCAACGAATGATTCGAAAGGTGTTCGTAAAAAAGAAAAGCGAGTGAATCCTACGATTTCAGATTTACCTCGAAAAAGCGTTTTTGCTTTGCATTGCCATTTGCAGTTTACAAAGACCAACGAAGTTCTAGCCAGACACAGTGTTCAGTTTTGACAATCAAAGACTCTAGCGTGCAGTAGTCTACAGTAAGGACCTCAAAGTTGGCTAATTAGAGGTATGATTGCGTCACTCTATTTTATCATTTGGGTGTGGCCCAAATAGAGTAGTCGAGTTCGCTTCTTTTGTTTCAAAGTTGCAATAGACACGCAATACGTGCGAACGTAACGAGCCAAGCGAAGCGAATGTCTGCAGCGCGCTGCGTCACAACACAACATTTATCTTCGTTTCATACGACCCACAGATAACGTACGGCAAACAAATCAGCAATAGAAAACCAACTTTTTGGAGAAAACAGGGTACACTGAGTGAAACAAACTATGAAATAATTTAAAATTTTCCTTTGGAAAATAATCGCCTTCACAGCACACTATGTGAATGGTTTGGCTTATTGCCAAGAGTATGACAATATTTTTGCTCTCAGTTGACAAGCGCAAAAGAAGATGTCACGCAACATTCCATGATCTCGTGCATATGACCCTCAGATAACGCACGGCAAACAAATCCGCAGTAGACAACAATCTTTTTGGAAAAACAGGGTACACTGAGTGAAACAAACTATTAAATTTTTAAATTTTCGCTTTGTAAAATAATCGTCCTTGCAGCAATAGCACGTGGTGTGAATGGTTTGGCTTATTAATTTGCCAAGAGTTTGACAATATTTTTGCGTTCAGTTGTCGAGCGCCAAAGATGATGCCATGCAAAATTCCATGATCCAGTACATGAGATAATTAAGGGTAACATTGAATGATGCATAATTTCATTGCATATTTTTGGAAAGGAGGTGATTTCTTAAAATCGTACTGAGCAAAATGACCCTCGTAAACAAGTTCATTCTTTCACGATCGAACCATTAAAAGGGCACAGTCCAACATCTTCACGTGCAAACCGCGTTCTGTTTTAAAATCCTTGGTAGTTGGGTTGATTGGATTAAGTCGTATAGACCTTTTTACCGATACGGCGGCCATATTGAATTAATTCGATTTAAGGAGTATTATAGGATGCCCAAGGGGCATGAGCACATTTCGTTTGTATTTTCGAGCGCTTTTCGGGACGTTTTTTCTTAAATTTTTCTTAGAATAAGTTGTAATGGGAAAAAGATCCTTGTGCTGTGTTTTGATGTAATAATGATCGCCTTTTTCCAGAGAAATATACATTGAAAGAACATATTTCTAATACTAAAGTAGAAAAAGGCGAATTTTCTTTCTAATATTTGTTTGCGAAGCTAAAAGCCTAGGTTGTTCAGTTAAAATAAATTAAAACAAGGCGGGCAGTATGAAAATCTCTGAAAACATTTAGGCACACATAATTTATAATTCATTCATTCGAGTAGTCAAACTACAGAAGGAGTGACTGAAGCTTCTTCAGTCGAGGATGATTAGATAGACAATTTGCATAGCTGCTGACCACGTGACTGCAAACGATCTATATATAATAGGCGAAGGAGGGGTCGAAAACAAGGCTACAGAACTTATGAATGAAAGAAAACGTTTGGTAATCATCGTTTGAAGTGAAACAGGATTTAGTATCAAGCATAGAAAGGCATTTCGTTTCTTACCTGAAAATAAAAGTAAAAAGGCCAAAAACACAAAATCGCGAGTTTTCGTCTTTCTAAACATCGCTTTCGTCCTCGTCTTTGATTCAGCAGAGCGAGACTGTGTAACTAAGTCCCAAACACATCATTTTGTTTGTTTCTCTTCTGCTGATCCGCTTCAGTAAAATTTGATGCTCCAAATTCGCCTAACAAAGAATGCCAACTTGTTCATCAAAATGCGCC